GTTTTACGATTGGCAGCCGAATATTGCATGCCTTTGACATCAGTGATATTGATTTACGCTGCGTTATTATACGTTTATATATAGACGTTTGCCTTCTGTTATTGTTTTTGTATATAAATTATAATTGTATGTTTCACTGAGAAAAAAAAAGCAGACAAAAATTATACATTGTCCATGACCATGCATGTATTGCCTGTGTCTTAATTGTCTCATGACTTCATACTCTTGACTTTAGTACCATGCTCTGGACTCGACCAGCTTATACCTTTTAGTGTTATAGTGTATACGGCAAAACATTTCCACATGAATTTCTCATTACACTGACAAGATATTTTGTGGTACGTACTGACCAGCTTATATACTGTTCAAGGCTCCTTGGCACGCGGAAAACTTTTTTTGTCGTATACGCGAGCAAGTAAAACTTGTCAAGGAAAAAGTGGCGAGGAAAGCTTGTTCGTCTGTTCGGTAGGCACGCTGAGATTTAAGAAATGGCCAGAGACAATACTGAGATGGAACTGAATTATATATCTGTTGACAGGGTAAGACATTTGACTCCGTTTAATATCTACATACAATTCATACACTAATGCCGCGCTGATATTATGCTGTATAATGTTTAATCGAGCATAACAAATTGCTTCCCGCAGTATGCTTTTTTTTTTCAAATAACTTGTTAATAATAGAACTTCAAACCGAGTACCTACTGCGAGTAATGAAACTAATTACCGATTGATTACAGTTTTTCCAATTATATTTAATGAGATAATGCGCTCTGATTTCCGGACTTTTGCGTATTCAATCCGCAAAAGTTGCAATTTTTAGGCTGTGCCAGGCGGTGTGCGAACTGGCAGCGCAAAGCATGATGGGCGAAAATAAAAATCCGTTCATTTGCATGTTGACTATGGTTGAGTGAACATCAAAAGTTTAATGAATATTCAATATGGGAATTAATGGTCTGTTGCCTTTTGTCAAAAAATACAGCAAAGAATGTAACTTGCGGATATTTTCTGGTCAAACTGCAGCAATAGACGCTTCTTGTTGGATACACAAGGCGTTATGTGTATCTATTGACAGAACTGGAAGTCGCGAAAGGTAAGCAATTTCTTGGGAAATTTTGTTGAACTGATATAAATTCACATATTATATAAACATAATTGTATGAAAAATATTTACATATGGTACGTTTAGCCTAAGACATTATAACGAATCGACGTTTGTTTATATTTGTACTGATATTTATAGACTTGGTGGTATATTTGAAGCACATTTACGGATAGTAAAAAAATCCGGGCTTATACCATTTGTTGTCTTCGATGGATTTGCCCTGCCTGAAAAAGCTAGCGAACACGAAGGACAGCAAATGTGAGTAGATATTATAAGAAGGTCAATGTTGTTATTGTTTATATTGTTGGTATTGTTTTGTCCAATATTCCCAGTCTGTTGAAACCCAAATTTGTCGTGTTTTGTTTCTTAAGTTTTATTTTTTGTTTGCAGTGCACGTGAAAAGATTTTAAAACAGGCTGAAAAACCAGACATATCAAAATCTGAAGCAAATAAGCTACAGAGCCGAGCTGCATCGATGACCTTCGAAGATATTGTCGTTTGCATAAATGTATGTAATTACATTCAGTAGACAAACTTGTCCATATAAAACAATGATATTAATTTGTGGGCCAAATAAATTATGGCAGTGATATTGCAATGTATTTATAAACTATTAACGCGTTGTTTATTTATTTTCTTTGAAAGATTTGTTTGGCACACAATGTGAAGTATGTTGTTTCACCTTATGAAACTGATGCACAAATTGCTCACATGCTTTTAAATGGCCATGCAGATTTTGGGATTACAGAGGATTCAGACCTGTTGGTTTATGGATGTAAGAAGGTTTGTAAGAAGGAACCTGGGGAATTATACTTTTTAACTCAATCAAGTAAAAGTTGCATAATTATTAAGGAACAACTGACAAGGTAGCCTCCATAATGCAGGTATTGTATTAAGATTGACAAAAACTTGGTTTATTGGATGACTGCGAACAGCATTGGACTGAGAGGCACATTCTCCACACAGTTAGTCATTTAAATTCCTGACACCCCACCTCTGGCATACCCAGGGCAATCACCTCCTATTCACTAGTTTTCCCCCTTTATGCCTAGGGGGGGGGACCTGGGGGTTTTTATGACTGATGCATAAGTTTGTAAGAAGTTAGAAAACTAATTTATTTACTTGTCTACTTGTCTGCTTATTAGGTGATGGTTAAACTCAACCTAAGTGGAGATGGTGAATATTTCCAACTTGCAGAGATATTGGGTGGTTTAAATCTAAGCCAAAAACAGTTTCAGCAAATGTGTATAGCCGCTGGTTGCGATTACCTTACAAATGTGAAAGGTGTTGGCATACACACAGCATTTCGTTTTGTAAAACATTCAACTAAGGATTTGTTGGAACTATTAGTAAAGAAAGGAGGATCAGAGTACAAAAATTGTTTCAGCAAGGTAGAGACAGTTTTCAAACACCAAACAGTATTTGACTTGAATACCAACTCAACTGTTCCCCTGGAGAAATGTGAGGTTGATCTTTCTGAAGATGTCCAGTATCTCTGTGGGAAGTATCCTTATGCTATATATATTAAATGGTTGTCTATAATAGACTGATTATTTGAAGAATTTGCAATACAAAATATTTTTCTTAACTTACTAAGTAAACTGGCAGATGGCTATGCGAATGACATGGCTGTTGGCAACATCAATACGAAAAGTGGGGAAAAGGTTAATGGCTATTCTAATTTAGTCAAGGTAATATATTGGACTAGTCCTTCTATTATACCAAATTTTCTCAGTACCTTTAGTCCATTTGTTCTAATGCACCCACTTCAACTGACAATTAATTACTGCATCATATAGTAGTATATCAGGCCTGGTGTCATATAACATGTTGTAATTATTTGTAGGACCAAGCAACTGGTGAACAAAGTGGTCATGAGAATTCTGAATTGATCGCATGCACACAATTGGTAAGTTGAAGCTGTGAAGTGGTTTTTGTTGTCTGAAGTGTTTTACACACTCAATGTTTTACACATTTTATAATCTGGAATTGTTAGAATGTTTCATGGAATTAAAACTGACACAAAAAAATTTATGCGACATTGTATTTTTTGTGTAATAAACACATTAACCCATTAAGCGCCAGCGCTCTCCCCTTGACGAGTAAAATCGTCTGGCGTTAGACAGAGTAAAATACTAAAGTAGGGTGCATCAGGGTGCATCGCCACTCAATGGGTTAAAAAAGTCTTACTGTGGCTTATACATTGAACACAAAATATATGTGACAAGATTGTTGTTGTATTTGCTAATTTATTTATTCATGAATTTTGAATAATAAAACAGAACACAACAAATACAACTGAATCACTCTGTTCTTCTCATATTTAAGGTTATATTAATTGTCAAGAATTTTTATGTGAGATCATTCATGTTGATCAATTGTCTTCTGTTTCGTGGCAAATCCCCCAATTCCCAGTGATGATCTTGGAATTTGCCTTTGTCCGATTCAAGAAAGGTACAGAGGTACTTAAAGGTGTAATCCTAAAAGACGAGTTGGCGAACATTCAACCAGGAATATTCACTTGTACTTCTCACTGTGAAATAGTTATTAATTGCGAGAAGTATACAGTGTTGTGGAAGCTAGTTCCAGAGAAAGCCACCTCTAGAAGATCTGTGAGCAGTGGAAGTGACCCTTCAGTGTCCAACACTCTACCTGATGACTACAGGTTGGAAGATAGTGAAGATTTGGTGCAGCCAATTGAGAACATAGATCATTGTTTGCCATTTAAGGTTCTGGGAACTTATCATACGGTAGATAGACAAAACGTCCTTGAGAGAGCCTTCACCTACCTCGAAGAACATAACAGACATGTATTTGCAAAGATTGAAGCTGAGCCAGACAACCCTTACGACAAGAATGCTGTTATGTCTTCATCAGATTACGAAAAAGTAGGCTACATAGCAAAAGAACTCACACAATATGTTCACCCAGTCCTGTACGACAAATCACTTGATGTATCTGTGAAAAAGATTCGTTTTTGTACCACATATTGCATGGTAGGATACTACTTGACAATTAACATCAGCAAGAAAGGTTTATGGGATAAACAAGTCATCAGTGCCAGCAAAAGAGTCAATTAGACCCTGTTCAAAAAAGGCCAGACAAATGCTGTACGGGACTAATTTGGGACGTAATTATTTTGGTTCATGAATCAGTGTGTTTAGCAGCGCTCGGATTTGTTTGGTTTCATTTGATCATTTGTGAATGCAAAGGGGTAATCGTGCAAATATTTTTCCAGTTCCACATTTGTCCGGCCTAGTGTGAACGGGGCCTTAGTGGTCAACTAATTACAATAAATATATGTTCTTTGACTTTGTATGTTTCCATGGTGTGGTGATCATTCGGTAAATAAGTTTTCTGAAAAACACCACATTTTTATTCATGGAGAACTTTGGATGTGTGCACCCAGATCCCTTCACCAGTGCAGGTAATGTTGACAGTTCGTTCAGTTCTGTTTTATATTTGCACTTATGTAGATCCACTGGCACACAGATCGAAAGCTCTGCAGGAATAGAAATATATGGTGTTGTCCACAAAACAAAACTTTACTCATAGTATATACATGTTGACTGTTTTTAAGTTAACCGCTGCACTGGTGGCAGTTCCACAGGATCCCGATGAAACTTTGCCCTTGCCGTGAGCTGTCCCCTTTGCGGCAAGAATACCCTGTTCGCTACGAACACCCCTGGGTCACCTCGTCGTGACAGGTTTACATCGTCTAGTCTCTCTTTGCCAGTTCCATTGGATGGCTGATTAAATGAGGGCAATTCGAAATCTGTGTACCGTTCCTTGGTTCCAGACCAATAGAAGAATTTTAAATCCGGGTCAATTCGCTTTGTGAATTCATTAAAAATTTTCCTTTTGGCAGCAATGAATTGTTTCATGTCGAGTATGTCACCAAGCATCTCGTGCATGAGACCAATAATTCCTTCAACATCATCTGACCCTGATGCCCGATGGTGCTCTGGGGGAAGACCTCGATCTTCATACTCTACACGCCGCTGCTCTCTACTCTCCAGATTGGCTACAAGGCCAATTATAATCTCTTGAGTCAGACCACATATGCCTTTAATTCTCCTAGTTATAAATATTAAACAGCATATTACGCAGTGAATCTTTTTTCTCTAAAACAAAAAATTAGCCTTTCTCACGAAGACGAACATCCGCCATTTTTGGTGGCATCTAATTCTCTTTAACCAATGCAGACAATCAAAACAATGTGAAAAGCACTTTTTCAAAATAAACTAACCATTTACAAAGCAAATCTACCATCATTCGTCCAAAAAATTTTAAGAAGCCACTGTTATGTCCACGTATCTCACTGACTTTGGCAGAAATGCCACCCAAAAATGACGGCGTGAGAAAGGCTAATTGATTATAGACCATGAAAACCATGAAAAACGAAGACCTCTGCATTTCTGATAACCCCCGTCCATCCACTGCTTTGTGCCAGTTGTGTAGACGCTTTATGATGCATGCATCAGTCGTGTGACATTTCCGTTCCAGGAAAGAAATAACACCAGGATTTATGAGACGCTCACAATCTGGCACAGACTGCTTGTTCTTTCCTGTTAGTGCCTCGTATGTCAAACCGGTTGAAGGATCATGTAGGGCATCTCTGAGGTGTCGTAGGTCTAAGCCTGGGATATGCCCTTGTCGAAGCCTTGAAACTATGCGCTTCAGCAGATGGTTGTGATCCTCACGATGATGTACTCTCTCGCCATTTGCATCTTTCTCTGGCTGGTATAGGTGGTCAGCAAAATTAGCAGGATCACTGGCATGATTCTTGAGATCATCAATACTTTTCCGATAGATTAAAATAGCCATAATAGATTTCACGATCTCTCCAGTTGTTTCAGGTCTCCCTATCAAAATACGACAACACATGTTGGTTCAGTGGCAGGTAAAATTGGCTGGCATTAGACAGAATAAAATACCTAGTCTGCATTGGTTCAATTCCCACCGGAGGACTTAAGTTGCATTTCTTACAATGTTTCCGGTTAGGTCTGCGGTATAACAATTGCTTATGATAACATCAGAAGCGACAAATACCAACCACCTCAGAAAACTAATTACAGTGTGTATAAAAAAAAACACGGTAACTCTACCTTGCACCCAAGGGTGTGGATCGTGCATAAATGGGAATAATTTCCTTATAACATGCGAACAGCATTTTCAAATAACTCTGGATCTTCTTCACGTTCAGATATGAATTCATTCAGCCATAGGACCTCTGACAGGGTAACAGCTGCATGTGAACAAATTGGATTACCTATTAAAAAATAAATAGCTACAGCTGTTTTCGACTGGAAATATAAACAGAAACTCTACTCTACTCTACGCTAAAAGGCGTGAATAAAATTGAAATGAGAATCAATTCAATTTGCACCTTTTCCATCCAGTTTAAAGTATGTAAATATGGTCTTCACATGAATACTCCTTGCTTGTTTTTTTGCACTCTTTATAAGTTCAATTACAGATATTGGACGTGTAATTCCCATTGTTCGCAAAGAATTAAATTCCCCGTCTGTTGTGAAACCTGGACAAAAAAATCATACTCAAATCGATAAATATGCAAGTACACAATTCAGCATTTCTCAGCATTGGGCTTATATTCGGGTGTGTTTATATTTAGGTGGGCTTATATTTGGAATGAGGTGAGCATTAGTACATGTGGTAGGGTTATACACGGGGATTATATTCAGGGGGGCTTATATTCATTGCATATACAGCAATTTCAGGATGGTTTGGTCAGATACAATAAAATGCTTGTTTAGGAAACGGCAGCATTAGCAAATTTTAAAATCTCTTTCAGTGAAATATTAAACAATGAAATACTTTCTTTTGCACGATAATTCCATTATTTCACTCAAAAATATTTAAAAAATTTCACTGCAGCTGTATTAATTTGGTGTTGAGGTTATCAACCACTTAGTCAAACTAAGACAAAGGATTATAGAGAAATTCACCACACACCTACAACTATCATCCCTTTACTTCTCATAGCATCTTCTAACTGAATTTCAAGCTCACTTAATTTGCCATCGGTTAGTGACATATATGGCATGAAGCGTATGGGGATGGCATATGGCTTGCGATTTCTCAGCTCATCTGCAATCATAAATACCAGTAAATGAGTCGCAGCTACTCGTTTCTTAGAAAATAGTCCTTTGAGGTAATTAAGAAGCTCCAACTTGATTGCACATAAATGAACATCTTCATCACCACCAACAAATGCATCCAAATCCCTGCGTAGACTTTCAAGTTTCTTAATAAGATCATCAAATCCAGTAGCAGCCCAAGCTAATTCCATCATTGATTTCTCGATTGTCTTACCCTCTTTAACTGCTTTAGTGTATGCTAAGTTGGCAGTTTTGGAACCAGTTTTTAGAAAATCTAAATCATGCTGTAGGTCACTTTGCACTTTGTCTATATCTTTAAATGTCCAATTCAATCTCACAGATGTGCCAATACTCCTAACAAATGAACATCTTGCCTTGTATTCATCGAACAATATTTGCAATGACCCATCACCCAAATCCTCGTCTCCAGCCCATTTCCATCAACATCAACATCGGTCGGCTATTGGCGATGCTTCCGCGAGGAATATGTCATCGTCTGCTGACATACTCTTACATTTTATTAATATATATATATGAACTTCAAAATTTCCAACGTTTCTCAAAACAACATTTTTTGCATGAAATATTGATAATTTCAAGTAAAATTCACAATGAATATCATGTGTCAGGAAAATATTATTTCGATTTTGCAAATCAAAGTCCAACGTTTGTCGTATTGAAGTCCAGGAGTCAGGACACTTGGAATCAACCTCCAAATATGGGTACGCAGGTAGCGTCAAATTTTAATCCGTTGAGTTGAAAGTTCACATCAAAAATTAAAATTAAATTGTCCATCAACACTAAATTCAAATATCCTCTTCAGCTGTATTCAATTAGCTTTCGAACTCGTACTTCCGGTCCTCTGTTAAGAAAGAGCGAGTGGTTGGTGCATGTATTGTCAAGGTCCACAAAATTCATTAAAAATTTCACTTTTCATTTATTTTTAGTAGTGATTCATATCAGTCATAACGATCTTCCCCAGCAATAAAATCATTGAGATTTGCATGTTTTGATTGACAAACACTTCATATTACATATGTGTCTACAGTAAGTGGGCCACTTAGAGAACGCCATATTACAGTGTGTCTACAGTAAGTGGGCCACTTAGAGAACACTAATCGTACCAATCACATTGCACAACAAAAATTGAAAAAAATCAACAAACGGCGCATTAGCCAATCAGCATTATGCTAAAAACAATTTGAACAAATAAACGAATGTCAAACGGTAAAAATAGACTTGTAATAATGTTTTATTCGTACTCACAAGAAGGAAAGAAAATTAGTTGTTTACATATGTTGTATATATAAGTTAGAGCACTGGCTGCACAAAATAACCATAAGGGCTAGAAAGAGGGTGCAGCCAATAAGGACTGGGGAAAATATAAATATAAAACTAGCTCACAGAACAGCTGTCTCCAGTAGGATATATACGTTGGAGAGAGCTGCACGCAAAATAACCTCATTACAATGTTCATTTTTACATCAAATAATAAAGTTAATTCTTGTTACAATTCTCAATATTTCTGGATCATTTCAATTTTTATTCTCTTTTTGAATTGCAAGAGAGAGAGAGATTTGACATTCTCGTCTAGAGAATTCCAGATTTTAACACCTTGGAATCTTATATTAAAGATACCATAATTGGTTTTAGTTTTTGGTAAATAGTATGATTGTTTAACGGCAAGTCTTGTACTATAATTAGAAGCCTCATGGACCGGAATATAAAACTGACCAAAGGCCACCGGTAATAAGTTGTTATGGAATTTGTACATAAATTTGGCAAGATGGAAAGAAACAAGATCAGGCAATTTCATGATATTCAATCTTTTAAATAAGGGACTTGAGTGTTCCTCGTATTTTGCAAATGTAATTATTCGTATAGCTTTTTTTTGTAAGATATACAAGTGTTGTAGAGTAGAGGGGTATGTATTACCCCAAATAGTTATTCCATAAATCAAGAACGGGTAAATCAATGCATAATAAAGATTTACAAGAATTTGCTCACAAACATGGTAGCGTAATTTGGAAAGGATCCCAATACTTCTTTTAATTTTTTTTGCAATGTAAATTGTTTGACTTTTCCAGTTAAGATTAGAATCTATATAGATTCCCAAATATTTAATACAAAGTTCTTGTTTTAGTTCTTTTCCATTCAAATATAATTTGAAATTTAAGGATATTTTCTTTTGTGGAGGATGGAAAATAACAAAATTTGACTTTTCAATATTCAGAGAAATGCGATTTGAGCACAACCATATGTGTACATTATTTAGCTCATTATTCAAGTCATTTTGTAATGTAAGCAAGTTTTTGTGTTTATAGAAAATATTTGAATCGTCTGCAAATAAATGAAAATCTAAAAGTTTTGAGCAACAATTGAAATCATTTACATATAGCAGGAACAGCAATGGTCCCAGTACCGATCCTTGGGGGATACCACAAGATAGTGTTAGTTGATCTGATGATACATTATTCAAAAAGACAAATTGTTTTCGATTACTAAGATAGGAAGCAAGCCAATCTTTTGCTATCCCTCTAATTCCATAATGCTCAAGTTTCATAATCAAAATTTCATGATTAACTGTATCGAATGCCTTACTGAAATCCAAAAATACACCACATGAAAATTGGCACTCTTCAATTGCTTTTTGAATTTTATCAACAATACACAAAATCGCAGAATCAGTCGAATATCCTGTACGAAATCCAAACTGCTTGTTGTAAAGAATACTATTTTTGTTAAGAAAGACTATTAATCTATTAAACATTAGTTTTTCTAGAAGTTTATTAAAAACCGACAGAAGAGAAATAGGTCGATAATTATTTAAATTAGTAGACAGACCTTTCTTGAATACAAGTATTACTTTTGCCAGCTTAAATCTCTCAGGAACAATTCCTGTTAAGATGGACTCATTAAAAACTGTTTCCAGGGGTGTTGCTATAACACTTTTAAGTAATTTTAATACTGAAATTGGTATGCTAAAAGGACCAGTAGACTTATTTGTCCTTAAAGACATTATTTCATTTTCTATCTCCAACGATGTTATAGGATGTATAAAGAAACTATCACGTTGAGGAGTTGTTAGATAATCTAGTGGTGATTTTTGTGCTTCCGGTATCTTATTCGATAATTGATTGCCAATGTTAGTAAAGTATCTATTAAAGGCATTTGCAATTAAATTTGTATCCGTGATTTCACAGTTATTCTCAAGAACTTTTGTAGGTTGTTGATATGATTTGGGATTACTATGTATAATTTTTTTTATGCCTTTCCATACTCTCTTGCTATTATTAATATTAGAGGCAAAGTATTTATTATAGTATTGTTGTTTAGATAATCTAATAAGATGGTTTATTTTATTTCTGTAATATTTAAATTTAGAGTGATAATGAACAGATTTAGTTTTTAGAAATTTTTTATAGAATTTATTTTTTGTGTTGATGGATGTTGTAATGGCAGACGTAATCCATGGCTTAGACTGGATTTTTAATTCCTTCTTAGACATCACTTTGATAGGAATGTATTTATCAACTTTTTGCGATATAGTTTCATAAAAAGTATCAAACATAGAACTAGCGTCAGAACAACAGGATAATGCATTGTCCCAATCTATGGTTTGAATATCATTAACTAATGCTGCCCCATCAAGCTTACTAAAATCTCGCTTATAGATCTTAACATTATTAGGTAATAAAGAGTATCTATTAATTATCAAAAAATTTGGCAAATGATCGGTAAGGTCATATACTATATTGCCACCAATAAGAAAATGTTCAACAGAATTGAAAAATATATTGTCTATTAATGTGGCTGAATGATCAGTAATTCTAGTCGGCTGAAGTATTTGAGGTTGGAAGAAATAAGAACCTAATGTGTCAAGAAAATCGTCTGTAGCTGGGTGAATTTCAAACCTTAGAAGATCTAAATTGAAATCTCCCATAATTACACAAAATTTACTTTCTTGATGAATTTTTTCAATTGTTGAATTAAGGTATGATATAAAATTTCCTAAATTGCCATTGGGGTGTCTATATAACACTCCACATAGCATGTTCCGATGGGAGTCAGTCTGTATTTCAATCCATGAAGCTTCAAAATCTATTTCTGAACAAGATATATCCGATCGAAGTAGATATTTTAACTGATTTCTTATGTAGAAACCAACTCCACCAGCATTTGTTTTGCTTGGTTGAGATACAAAATTATAAGCCAACAATTCTGTATTAACAATTGGATTTTCCATATATACAATTTATCATTACCTAGCCACATCCGGTGGACGTTACAACAGGGTCACATCATTGAACAGAACAGCCCTGTTCATATATTTCGCTTTGAGTTTATATTGAGAGTGATTCAATTGTTATAAGATGGGGGTGAAATAGACGCTGGAATGAAGGGTGATTAGAAGGGGTGGGTAAAATGAGGACTGGGGATTAAATAGGGGGAATACCGGAATGCAAATTGAAGTATGAGAGAGTAAATGCGTGCATCAACTAATTGAGGCTGAATTGTCCACTAATGCTAAACACAAACAAATCCTTTCGGAAGTCGAAAGAGAGAAGAAAAGAACAAAAACACAGGAGCACGCATCTTACCAGACACGTGGGAAAACTGAAAAGGATGAACAAAGTGGTGTCAAAAACGGGGAACATGCATGTCATGGTAGGCCACGAACGAAATAAAGCAGGCCTGCTGGCAAGTTATAAACAGACTTTAGAACAGAATATGGTAAACTGAGTTTAGGCACAGTGTACTTGGACAAGCTTAGCGTCGAATAGTTGAGGACAACTGAAGACACCTTGCATCTTGAAGACTCGGAAAGTTTGTAAGAATATATTAACACTGTGCATTTTAGTTATAGTTTGTCACGTTTATAATATTTATTGGTGCAAAATAAGAATAATTTTATAGACTTAGGATTTATCAAATCCGATACCTTCTTTGTAAAAGGTGAAACTCTCACAGATGATTTTAGAACCATATTTTCAGAGATACGAAAAACTATAGTTTCATATTATTCTGACACTGACGCGGGATTCGAACTTGATCTGTCTGTAGGCAGTAGTGTCTAATTTAGGTGCGCTAAATATTTTCGCGACGACTTAAACTTATATTACTTTCCAGATTTTCGCAGCAGCATAACTATAAACGATATTTTCTTTGAATTAGCTTTTGATTTTGATAATTTCGGCAGCAATTAGTTATTATTCCCCAGATTACGATTATCATTATAGGAAACCTAAAACAATTCATTTTACGTATACATTCCGGGCATCTTTTCTGATTTTGCTCTACTCTTAATAATATTAGTCATTTTGAAAGCTGATCAGTTCTCGCGCGTTGACTTTTACGAATCGTATTGCTATCGCATGCTCCCATGCGTTCCCAGGCCCTCTTTACGTACGATTGCTTAAACGAACATCTTTTCTTAGATTGATCGAAAATGATGAAAATTCTTTGCTTGGTTCTGCTGGTTGGAGTATTTACCATTGAAAGTGAAGCGTGGGGACCACGTATACGTGTGCCACGTATACGTTTGCCTCGCATACGTGTGCCACGGATTCCCACGCCGCGTATACGTTTGCCGCGGATTCCCACGCCGCGTATACGTTTGCCGCGGATTCCCACGCCGCGTATACGTTTGCCGCGGATTCCCACGCCGCGTATACGTTTGCCGCGGATTCGAATTCGAGTGCCCAAACCAAACATTGGTAAAATACGGGACAAGGCAAGCAATGCCTTCAAGAGCATATATAAAATGGTTTGCGGTGATCAAAAGAAGAGGGACTGTGGCTACAGTTTAGTAACAAGAGTTCAGGGTGTCTGCAATGGACAATCATGCCTAAAGCAGAATTTCAAATTTGGCAAGAGATCTATTGATCCAAAGACATTCAACGAACGTAAGTATTTTTGTAAGACTATAGCTAGATTGTACTTATAAACTTCTACTTGGATTTGGTCCCTTAAAAAAGGGACATGCCGTTAAATTTCCAGACTGTTTGAAAATTTCCATTGACGTGTTATTTTTGTATATAATTGTTATTTCAATTCTGTTACTTCAATGAACACTCGAAAGTAAGGCAGGCAGTTACTCAAGATCCGATTGATCAATCTCTTCTCTTTTGTCATATGGCTTTAAATTAATTTCTCTAGCACCATGTTTATACACTCTAGACCCAAAAAGAAAAAATATTTGCTTGAAAAAGTATATCTAAAACAAAATTACTTTGAAATCACCTGCTGTCTTGAAATACTGAGACAGAGAAAAAATATTTTTGTACTGCAATGTGCATACACAAGTGGAATAAAATAGCACTCTATGACCATACACAAGATACGCAATCATCCCCTACAACAAATTTGCGCAAGAATGCCATTAATAAGCTTATATAGCAATTCATGCAATTTTCTGGCATTTGATTTTAGAACTACTGATGAACGACAACGTGGCGAAATACGAACTGTCAAGAAGCAAAAGACAAGCTTTGTTCTACATCAGGCTTGCTCTCAAGGGCGGTGCTATTTATAACCAATGTTGCCGCAAAGCATGTCGAGATGTCGACATTGTGAAATATTGCATATGATGATTGAACTGCACGAGAAAGGGACGACAAAACGGAATATGACGGAACTGATTAAGGACTTTATCACTTTAAAAATATTGGTAAACGTTAAAATAGACTGGTTAAAATCAACATATAGAGGATTTAGAACAGACGAAAAGTAAAACGTCGTAATATCATAGATTGAAATAAAGATGAAAAACAATGAGTGTTTGTTTCAACATAGTTCATATAAACAATCCCACATCCCTTAGTGAAAAACCTCAAATATTTAAACAAGCAAACGGTCAATGATTAAAGTACTTCGCAATACATGAATAACATCATATAAATAAAGAGTCTGGCCATAATAAAACAAGACTCGAGTAGTTTGAAATTCAAAGCAATGCATGATTTGTGTATACAAACACACAGCAAAATCCAAATTTCTTAGCAAGAAAAAAATTCTTGTTTCAAGAAAGACATGGCTTGAAATAAGATAACAAGTAAATTTTGTCTTACCAAGCAAAAGAGTTTACTAAAACAAGTACATATGCAGTTGCTAAGAAAAACGTCGTAAATTGTTACTTTCCAAAAATAATAATTTACTTATAAGAAGCATAAATTCACCAACCGAGAAACAACTTGGGATTTGAAATGCGAAATCAAGTAAAAGAAAATGGCGGATATTGGCCTTCGTGAGAAAAGCTAACTGGATATCATATTTATCTGCAATACATCAGAAACAATGTTGCATCAAAAATTTTGTCAGCCGAGAGAGAACTAAAATTCACGATGAATATCATGTGCCAGGAAAATATTATTTTGATTTTGCAAATCAAAGTCCAACGTTTGTTGTATTGAAGTCCAGGACACTCAGAATCAACTACCAAATATGGGTACGCGGATAGCGTCAAATTTTAATCCGTTGAGTTGAACGTTCGCATGAAATAATTCAGATTGCCCATCAACACTTAGCCTGCGTAGCAGGCGTTTAGCTGACGGGCGGGTACAGAGGGAACGCCTGCCCAAATTGGTTAGATGGAAAACACGGAGTCGGAGTACCGGAGTCGGAGTCCCGGAGTCGGAGTCCCGGAGTCTGACGTCATAAAAATATGGAAAACACGGAGTCATATGGAAAACACGGAGTCTGACGTCATAAAAATATGGAAAACACGGAGTCATATGGAAAGACGGAGTCTGACGTCAGAGAAAAATATGGAAAACACGGAGTCATATGGAAAACACGGAGTCCACCATATAGCCTGCGAACAGGCTCAAATATGGAAAACACGGAGTCTGACGTCAGAGAAAAATATGGAAAACACGGAGTCTGACGTCAGAGAAAAA